GCTCTAGCTGTATAGCATTTTAAAGTGTATTTTTTAAATATATTAAAATAATATTTTTTTTAAATGATACCAGAACATAAAAAAAAATTAAATACCTTTTAAACTAAAATATAATAGTTTGTGAACATAAAAAAATTATTTTATGACTTTCTATCAGGTTCACATAAAATCATTTCGGCAGCCCCATCATATAGTACCATTTACTTGATTTGAGCTAGCAGATCCCACGTTGCAAGATGCTTTACCTGGGGATGATGTGTTGGCCATCATAAAGATTATTTTTAAAAATAAATATTGATTTTCTCAGTACAATTTAGAGCCTGTTTCGAGCAAATATAATTGCTGACATCCAAAGTTTTGATGAAGATGTAAAAGGTCCATTATTATTATTATTTTTTATTTATACGGGGTGTTCGAGTCAGTTTACGTACACCATGACTAATTCCCACGGCTCACTGAATATCCTGCAAACCTAGTAGACATGTAAGGCATCGCGGGGATGACAGGCGTGCACGCTAGGGCTTGAACCTAGGTGCAGTGAAAGTAGACAAGCCCTTTCCACCGCAAACCCATTATTTTTTTTTATAACTAATCCGTGTTCACATTCCTCGACCATCAAAAATTACTGTATACACATGAATTATACTCATAATCAAAGTAATTAAACCCGTGCCGTTACTAGTTGAATGAATTAACTAATTTGATATTATTTTATTTTAAAATATATTAAAATAATATATACTTTTTTATTTTTAAAAATTGATTTTTAATATTAACATATTAAAATAATTTAAAAATATAAAATATTAATTTTAAACCAGAAAACATTTAAAATTTTTTAAAAGCACTATTTCTACCACTAAAACAAACATTCACTAGGCCAAAAACATCTGGTTTGTCCTCTCTATGATTAAGGATAAAAAAGATTTTTATTGCCGAGTAATCTACACATCAACAATAAATTATAGTACCACTACTGAAAAAAGAAAAAAAGAAAAGGAAAAACACAACTAATTGTCTTAAATTAGATATATAAACCAAAACGAAATTGCCCACGGAGTTTGTATCTATGTTTTCCAAATTTTAATTATCTTCAATCTAAAAATAAAAAAATCATTACACTTTGGATAAAGGTTTAGCCCTTGAAGCCCATGATGTCTTTTGTGGAGCAATATGTTTCTAAGGAGAAACATGCGCCTCAGAAGCCTCATTGTTCTAAGAGGTTGGATACTTGATCAAATAAGCCCACTAAAACCCTTTAACAGATTCATTAGAGCCACCGAAGAATAAATAACTCCTCAAGGTCAACAAAAAGACAGGGAAATGGCTGGCAGAAGCAGCCGCCATCAATAAAATAATTCAAATCCGTAGTCGACTTACCTAGGGATTTTTCACAAACAACGATCTCCCCCCCCCCCCCCCCCCCTCTTTCTTAAAAACGGAGTAAGGTTTTTGTTTTCTCTTCATCAGAATCCACTTGTTTTTCGATTGAAAATGGCTCATAAGGTAAAGAATGTAACGGAAAAGCTTGATGACATTGCCAATGAGAAAAATAAGTTCATACTAACAGAGGGAGTTGGAGAGAACGAAGCTGATAGGTTCGATTGGCGGATAACTAGCTCGCTTGTTAACGAATCAGAAATATTTGGAAGAGACAAGGAAAAAGAAGAGCTGACCAGTTTGTTGCTCGCCAATTCAGATGACCTCTGTGTCTGTGTACCATGTGGCATGGGGGGACTGGGGAAGACAACACTTGCTCAATTAGTCTACAACGATGCAAGTGTAAAAGGGCATTTTGATTTGAGGATATGGGTTTGCGTATCTGTTGATTTCGACATAAGGAGACTATCAAGAGGCATCATAGAGTCCGTTGAAGGCAACCCTTGTACCATTCAAGAGCTGGACACTTTGCAACGACTCCTACAAGAAAAGTTGATTGGAAGGAGGTTTTTGCTTGTGTTGGATGATGTTTGGGATCATTACCATGAAAAATGGAATGAATTGAAAGATGCATTGAGAGTTGGGGCTAGAGGATGTGCTGTTATAATAACAACTCGTCTAAAGCAGGTTGCTGATAAAATGGCTACTATTCCTGTTCACCTAATGGGAAGATTGTCGGAAGATGATTCTTGGCTTCTGTTTGAGCGTCTTGCATTTGGAATGAGAAGAAGCGAGGAGTATGTGCACTTAGAAAGTACTGGAAAGGCGATAGTCGATAAATGCAGTGGCGTTCCTTTAGCTCTAAAGTCACTGGGGAGCTTGATGCGCTTGAAGAGACATGAACAACAGTGGTCATCTATCAAAGAAAGTGAGATTTGGAATCTACCAGACGAAGGTGGCACAATTTTACCTGCCTTGAAGTTAAGTTATAACAACTTGCCACCACATTTGAAACAATGCTTTGGATTTTGCTGTATATTTCCGAAGGATTATGTCATGAAGAAAGACCAGTTAGTAAAGCTATGGATGGCCAACGGATTTATTGATCCTGAAGGGTAAATGGATTTGCATGAGACGGGCTACGAGATTTTTGATGACTTAGTTGGGAGATCATTTTTTCAGGAGGTCAAGGAGGATGGCTTCAGAAACATAACTTGCAAAATGCATGATCTTGTCCATGATCTCGCAAAATTAGTTATGACAGGAGAATGCTGTTTGATCGAGAAGAATAGGAGACCTAGAATTCCTAAGACAGTTCGTCACATAACTTTTCTAGATAGAAGTCTTTGTTATTATGACAAGGACCCTGTGAAAGGGAAATCATTGCGGTCGCTGATTTCCTTTCAGGACGATTACTACCCGAGTGACTCGATTGGTGCTCTTTTTTTAAACATGTCTGCACAAAAGAAACTACGGACGTTGAATTTAAGCAATTTCGGGTTTAGAAAATTGCCAGAGCCGATTGGTAATTTGCAACATCTAAGGTATCTAGACGTCTCTTTTTCTTTGATCCAAAAACTACCTGAATCAATCAGCTCTCTTCAAAACTTGCAGACCCTAAATTTGAGTTACTGCTCTCGGCTTTATATGTTACCAAAAAGGATGAAGGACATGAAAAGTCTCATGTATCTTGACCTCACACGTTGTGATGCGCTTCAATGTATGCCTTCCCGGATGGGACAACTGACTTGTCTGCGAAAGCTTGGCATGTTCATTGTGGGTAAAGAGGCTGGTCATCACATAGGGGAGCTGCAAAGACTGAATTACATTGGGGGTGAATTGAGCATCAAGGATCTAGGTAACGTCCAAGGTGTCACAGATGCACAAAATGCTTACTTGATGAGGAAGACAAATCTTCAATCACTGAGTTTGTCTTGGCGAGAAGACAATAGCAGCAAAATCAGTGAGTCAAACAGTGAAGATGTTCTTTGTGCTCTTGAACCCCATTCTAATATGAAGAAGTTAGAGATAAGCGGATATCGAGGATCCAAATTTCCAGATTGGATGATGGAGTTGCGTCTACCAAACCTAGTGGAGATCTCACTAGAATCGTGCATGAATTGTGAACATCTTCCTCCTTTTGGGAAACTGCGGTTTCTTAAGCATCTTCAATTGAAGAGAATGGACACTGTGAAGTGTATTGGCAGTGAGATGTATGGAGATGGAGAGAATCCATTTCCATCATTAGAGAGGCTGACTTTGGGTCCAATGATGAACTTAGAGGAGTGGGAAACAAATAGCATGGGTGGAAGGGAAATTTTCACTTGCCTTGATGAATTACAGATAAAAAAATGCCCCAAGTTGGTCGAGCTACCAATTATTCCGTCGGTGAAATATTTAACTATTAAGGACTGCACTGTAACTTTGCTGAGGTCTGTTGTGAATATCACTTCTATTACCTACCTTCGAATTGAGGGCTTCGATGAATTAGCTGTTCTTCCTGATGGACTGTTGCAAAACCATACATGCCTTCAAAAGCTGTCAATTACGAAGATGAGAAGCCTAAGGTCGCTGTCAAATCAGCTAAATAACCTATCTTCTCTTAAGCATTTGGGTATTTTTTATTGTCATAAACTTGAAAGCTTGCCAGAAGGTGTCCAGAACCTCACTTCTTTGGAGATCTTAAGTATATATGGAATGCCAAAAATCACTTCACTGTCTGTTTTACCTTCATCTCTTGCTTCCTTGTGGATTCTAAATTGTGAAGAACCTCTCTATCCGAGGGACTGCAATATCTGACAGCACTCAAGGATTTAGAACTTTATAGCTGTGTAAAGTTAAATTCCTTGCCAGAGACTATACGACATCTCACTTCTCTACAATCTCTAACAATCTCTTGTTGTACGGAAGTATCTTGTCTTCCAGATCAGATACGGCATCTCACATCTCTTTCAAGATTGCGCATCCGTGGATGCTCTAATTTGATGTCTTTGCCAGAAGGGATAAGGAATCTCGAAATGCTCAGAGAGTTGGTAATTAATGATTGTCCAAACTTGGAGAGACGGTGCAAGAAAGAAAAAGGAAAGGACTGGCCTAAGATAGCTCACATCCCTACTCTTAAGGCTCTAGGCGCGAGGATGCGCCAATAAAAGCACATTGCCTAGAATTCGGCAGCGATGGACAGCGGCAGCCTTGCATAGACAGAAACAAATTCGGCAGGCAGCGTGCAATGGTCTATGCGAGTCGTTGAGCTTGCGACTTGGTATGAACTTGGGGGCTTAGGTGATGGACCTTCTAAGTCAGCAGCTGACGCAGCAGAATAGGCAGTTGAGACTGCCATGCGGATAGACAGAATATGGCTGTATCATGGGGGCAAAATGTGGGGAAGTGGCAGCTGAGTGGGGAAGGAAGTGCTCCACTATGTAAGCCACTAAGTTAATGGGAGAGTAAGTGCCCCACTATGCCCCGAAAATGAGGGATCATGGGGAGTAAGTGCCCTATTATGACCTGAAAATAGGGATTATGGGTGAGCCTAGCAACTCACACTTGTTTATAAATAGGCTGTCAAGCCTCTGCTGTGTAGGATGCGATTTTGTGCATAACACACACACTTGTATTGTGTAATCCTTTGTTGATGAGATAAATAAAGGTTGAGAGTTATTCTTGTAAACTTGTGTGCTTGCTTGTGTTTGTTCCTTTTATACGACTTGACAATTGTGGAAACTTTGTTGGGTGAGCGAAACACATAGTCGTAGGAAACACGAGCGAAAAAGGGAGGCAAGGCTGAGTTTAGTTGGGACTAGACTGCCGCATTGGGTTGAATTTTATTGCGAAAAATTTAACCCCGTGACATTTACTATCATCATTAATAACCAACTAGTACAATCCTCGGAGACCTAAAGAATATATGATTTCTCGGTGCTTGTTGGGACTTCATTGGGCTAATGTTATTGTGTATAGTCTTTTTTCACCAAGTCATAATGGTTGTGGTGATCAAATAAAATGTAAAATTGTCATAAGATTTTAGGGATGGTAACCAGTTTTAGATGAATAAGCGGTGTCTGAGGAATTCTATTTTTCTTCAGTGTTGTTTTGTGCTTATTTACAGCCTATTATTGCTCAATAAAATTATGAATCTGATTTGAAAATTGATTTAGTAGATATACTGCTATAATATAAATAAACTTCTTTTGTATCAATCCATGGCTTTTGTGATTTTCACTTGAGCTTCTAATGGTGTAAGCAGGCAGGCAGGCAATGCCCACTGAGGAATCTTCAAAATCAAGAGAGCCTGAACTTTGCTGCATATAATACAAATATGTTTGAATTGATTGAAGAAGCATTGCATCGCAGGGGAAACTCGCAGATTATGTATCCAAATGTATATTTAGGATCTGCAATGCAGAATATGCTGTGAATTTTTGTTGCTTAAACTTCACAATGAAGTTCATCTTGGAGTTTGATTAGACTCTTTCTTTTTCTTTTTTCTTTTTATAGTGGTCTCAAGCCCAACAGTATTATTATTGAACAAAAGGGATGCTTAAAAAGATAATCTTGGTCTAGAGCTGATATTTGGTATTCTGAGCCACTATTTCACAAACCAAGTATTATTTTGAGCTGAGATTTTATTGCCAGCAAGTACTTTGCCAGGTTCCTTTTTGCCATCTGCTAGAATGATTCATATGTTTTGTCCTTCAAAGATTTCATGTGTTCCCCTTGTTAATTGGGAAATAATGGTCACTTAGAGTGAACTAATTTCGACCAAATAATGGTAATTTATATTTATTTTCTCGGTAACTTAATGTATAATTTCATATAATTGTGTTTCTTCATTTAATTTTACCAATTGTGAATTTCTTTTAGAGCAGAATTTCTCTTACTGTTCCAACCCATGCAGACTAGGAAGCTTGAAGATTCCTAGAGAACAGTATCGTAAAGGAGTTCCATCAGAGGAATGCAGTTGATGGAATGTACTTTGATGGAGCTGAGATGATGAGTTTGAATTCATAAAACATGTATTGTCGATGATCTCTGGCTTCTCTGTAATGGTAATAACTACTGTGTTTATATCTCATTGGAAAACTAGCTAGCTAGATTATGGCTGCTTGTAGGCAGAGCAGTAAGGCTATCATGGGTGAATATTGTGGCTTGTAGTCTCCATCCCATTGTAAATCTGCCTATCTACTTTGGGAAGTATAGTATCTGACCATAACTGCTGGTATATATTTGATTATGGAGATGATGATTAATATGGTTATTAAAATTGAAATTTTTTCATGATTTCATAATCATTTACATGCTTGTTAAAGAAATTATGAGATTTTTTTTTTAAAAAAAAATCTCATAGGAAATTTAGCTAGAATATGCCTGCTGAAGAAGCTGAAAGAGGGGAATCACCTTCCTTGTTGGCTCGCACCACGTCAGCTTGAACTAGAAATGGTATTCTGGGGTTGGCACGAACTGAGCCGGGCAATTTTTGTCCTAACCAATAGTTATATGAAGATGACAGTATCTCTATACTATGTTATAATTTTAATGTCTTTACAATTTACCACTAGTACGATGAGATCAATTTTATATGAAGATAAGGAAATATTTATTATAATATGAAGTATGATACAAACAGCCTACAAATATATATATATATGTTTTTTTTTCTTAAAGGCGTTGAAAGTTCACCAACTCTGCTTACTTGCTTGGGTTTAATCAGTATTGTTTGGTTCTAGTCTTCTTTTCCATATATATCCTGCAGGCATGATTCGGAGCCTTTGCAAGTCTTTAGGCATCGTTTTTGCTGCCTCTTTGTAGCCTTCTCTGAATCTTGCTCTCTGTTGTTTCAATCCTCTCGCCCTTCTCGGAAAACCGGAGATAGCATTGGAAAACAAATCGCTATATGTCTACCGTTCTGTTGAATTAGAGGTAGACCTACCAGAGGAAGCAAAGCCCGCGTCAGTTTGAAAGACAGATGGCAACTGAAGAGATCAAAGAAATGCCAAAATCATGGGCCATGGTTGGTGGAGAAGGACCTCAAAGCTATACTCAAAATTCCTCCTATCAGGTGAATGTTCTTCCCCTTATAATAATAATAGCAATACTGAAACACTTTGGCTTGGGAGGCAGAGCAGCCTCTTTTTTTTACTTCGGTTTTTTTTTTCGGTTTTATTATTTGATGTTGAGTTGATTGGAGTTTCATTTTAATGATTTGTTGTTTATGCAGTCATTACAATTGTAATTGTCTTGGAGCTCAATTTCACAAAGAATAATTTGTGAAAAATTAAAAATAAAAGGATTGAAATTATATCACATAAAGATTAAGAGGTACTTTTTTAAAAAATTGTCAGTTCTATTTTCACAAATTTCTTTAGGTTTTGGCAAAAATTATTTTTTGGTTCCTTGAGTTAGGAGAATAAAGGGTTCAATTCAAAAATTTATTTATTTTTATTTTAGTTTTGAAGTTTTAGATCAGACTTCAAATTATAGTCGATAGAGAAAAAAGTTGACAAACATGTACTTTTTAGAACAAAACTTGATGTTATTGGTATTAAAAAGTAATATTTAACAAGAAAAATTCTAATTAAACCTAAACTAGCACACCATAAAACTGTATCAAATTCATCTGAATGCATGATAGAGGAGATGCTCTTAAAATCATTTTAGTAGGAGATTTAGTTTTGATCAATATATTAAATAGTTAAAAAACACATTTTGTTTTTGAATAAAAAATATTTAATGTGTCTAAATCTCAACAATTGTTCCAAACTTTCTACATCCGAACATTTCTTCGAAGTAACCAGCTTAAGTCGAACAATGTTGCTTTAACACTCAAGACAAGACTAGCATTTACCAAAAGAAGATGAAATTAAACTAAAATGAGCACCGATTTCATGTGATACTCTCACTTTCCCTGAGTTTTCGATGTATTTTCTCAAAGTGGGGATACCCTTATCCCCCTTTTTATATCATAAATCAGCTTTAATTGTGGATATATATATATATATATATATATATATATATATATAATGATTATATATATATATATATATATGTCCACAACAATGAGATAGTGTACAAGTCTTTGTCGGTGTTGGTCACCTTTATAGCAAATCCACCGAAAAAATGTTGCAGCTCATCGTTTTATGCAAACCGGGAGACAGGAGTGAAATAGTTTTCTATGCTTTTCAAGGATACGTTTATCTTAAAAAAAAAATATTGGTTTAATCAGGACAATTTATAGCCTGTTTTGAGCAAATGCAATTGCTGGCATACAAAGTTTTGATGAAGATGTAAAAGGTCAATTATTATTTTTACAATTAATCCATGTTTGTGTGTTTCGACCGCAGGAGCACTAGATGTGCTTGTATTATCGGTTGAAATTTATGGAATATACATGAATTTATGTGTGTCGAGTAATCTATAAATCAACAATAAATTATACTCCCACTACTAAAAAAAAAAGAAAAAAAAAAAGAACACAACAAGTTGTCTTAAATTAGATATATAAACCAAAACATAATTGCCCACGGAGTTTGTATCTATTTTTTCCAAATTTTAATTATCTTCGATCTAAAAAAAAATAAAATAAAAACTATTTCCCTTTGTATTAAAGTTCAGCAACCATCTAGGTGGTGGCCAAGTGGTAAGAACTTGGGATCAAGGGGTTTGCTCCCTCTGTGGTTTCAGGTTCGAGTTCTTAGTTGCTCATATGATGGCCACTGGAGGCTTACATAGTCGTTAACTTCAGGGCCCGTGGGATTAATCATGATGCGCGCAAACTAGCCCGGACACACACGTTAATCTAAAAAAAATTCAGCCCTTCCATGATGTTTTCTTGGAGCAAGATGTTTCTACAGGAAAAAATGGGCCTTAGAAGCCTCATTGTTCTAAGAGGAGGTTGGATATTTCACCAAATAAGCCTACTGAAACCCGTTGACAGATTCATTAGAGCCACCAAAGAATAAATAATTCCTTCAGGTCCACAAAAAGACAGTGAAATGGCTGGCAGAAGAAGCCGCCATCAATAATTCACACCCAATAGCCTATTTGCCTACGGATTTCTCACAAACAAGGATCTCTCCCTCCCTCCCTCCCAGCTTAGCTCTCTCCCCTGTACTCTCTTCACCACCATTTCTTGCTTTACTTCCATTTCCTACTTGCTTCTTGTTGCTAATTAAGACCCACAATTTAAATTTCCCGCAAATAGAAAACGAAAAAAGCTATGGCTGACGCCGTTACTTCTGCACTTGTTAGCACCGTCTTGGGGAACTTGAACACGCTTGTGCTTGAAGAGCTTGGACTTGTTTTTGGCGTCCAGACCGAGTTTGAGAAACTCAAGCGCACCTTCATGACGGTTCAAGCTGTCCTCAAGGATGCTGAGGAGAAGCAGTGGAAAGATGAGGCCATCAGGACTTGGCTGAAGCACCTCAAAGATGCTGCCTATGATGCTGATGATGTGCTGGATGAGTTCGCTATTGAAGCTCAGAGGCGCAGACAGCGAGGGGGTCTTAAAAACGGAGTAAGGTTTTTGTTTTCTCTTCATCAGAATCCACTTGTTTTTCGATTGAAAATGGCTCATAAGGTAAAGAATGTAACGGAAAAGCTTGATGACATTGCCAATGAGAAAAATAAGTTCATACTAACAGAGGGAGTTGGAGAGAACGAAGCTGATAGGTTCGATTGGCGGATAACTAGCTCGCTTGTTAACGAATCAGAAATATTTGGAAGAGACAAGGAAAAAGAAGAGCTGACCAGTTTGTTGCTCGCCAATTCAGATGACCTCTCTGTATGTGCAATATGTGGCATGGGGGGGCTGGGGAAGACAACACTTGCTCAATTAGTCTACAACGATGCAAGTGTAAAAGGGCATTTTGATTTGAGGATATGGGTTTGCGTATCTGTTGATTTCGACATAAGGAGACTATCAAGAGGCATCATAGAGTCCGTTGAAGGCAACCCTTGTACCATTCAAGAGCTGGACACTTTGCAACGACTCCTACAAGAAAAGTTGATTGGAAGGAGGTTTTTGCTTGTGTTGGATGATGTTTGGGATCATTACCATGAAAAATGGAATGAATTGAAAGATGCATTGAGAGTTGGGGCTAGAGGATGTGCTGTTATAATAACAACTCGTCTAAAGCAGGTTGCTGATAAAATGGCTACTATTCCTGTTCACCTAATGGGAAGATTGTCGGAAGATGATTCCTGGCTTCTGTTTGAGCGACTTGCATTTGGAATGAGAAGAAGGGAGGAGTATGTGCACTTAGAAAGTATTGGTAAGGCGATAGTCCATAAGTGCAGTGGTGTTCCTTTAGCTCTAAAGGCAGTGGGGAGCTTCATGCGCTTCAAGAGAAATGAACGAGAGTGGTTATCTGTCAAAGAAAGTGAGATTTGGAATCTACCAGACGAAGGTGGCACTATTAAAGCTGCCTTGAAGTTGAGTTATAACAATTTGCCGCCCCATTTAAAGCAATGCTTTGGATTTTGTTGTATGTTTCCGAAGGATCATGTCATGGAGAAAGACCAATTAGTAAAGCTCTGGATGGCCAACGGATTTATTGATCCTGAAGGGCAAATGGATTTGCATGAGACGGGTTACGAGACTTTTGATGACTTGGTTGGGAGATCATTTTTTCTGGAGGTCAAGGAGGATGGCTTGGGAAACATAACTTGCAAAATGCATGATCTTATCCATGATCTCGCAAAATCAGTTATGACAGGAGAATGCTGTTTGATCGAGAAGAATAGGAGACCTAGAATTCCGCAGACGGTTCGTCATATAACTTTTCTTGATAGAAGTCTTTGTTATTATTATGACAAGGCCCTTGTCAAAGGGAAATCATTGCGGTCGCTGATTAACATTCAGGAAAATCACTTCCCGAGGGAACACACTGGTGTTGCTCCTTTACTCAAGGTGTCTGCACAAAAGAAACTACGGACGTTGGATTTAAGCAATTTCGAGTTTGAAAAATTGCCAGAGCCGATTGGTAATTTGCAACATCTAAGGTATCTAGACGTCTCCAACTCTTCGATCCAAAAACTACCTGAATCAATCAGTTCTCTTCAAAACTTGCAGACCCTAAATTTGAGTTACTGCTCTCTTCTTCGTATGCTACCAAAAAGGATGAAGGACATGAAAAGTCTCATGTATCTTGACCTCACACGTTGTGATGCGCTTCAATGTATGCCTTCAGGGATGGGACAACTGACTTGTCTGCGAAAGCTTGGCATGTTCATTGTGGGTAAAGAGGCTGGTCATCACATAGGGGAGCTGCAAAGACTGAATTACATTGGGGGTGAATTGAGCATCAAGGATCTAGGTAACGTCCAAGGTGTCACAGATGCACAAAATGCTTACTTGATGAGGAAGACAAATCTTCAATCACTGAGTTTGTCTTGGCGAGAAGACAATAGCAGCAAAATCAGTGAGTCAAACAGTGAAGATGTTCTTTGTGCTCTCGAACCCCATTCTAATATGAAGAAGTTAGAGATAAGCGGATATCGAGGATCCAAATTTCCAGATTGGATGATGGAGTTGCGTCTACCAAACCTAGTGGAGATCTCACTAGAATCGTGCATGAATTGTGAACATCTTCCTCCTTTTGGGAAACTGCGGTTTCTTAAGCATCTTCAATTGAAGAGAATGGACACTGTGAAGTGTATTGGCAGTGAGATGTATGGAGATGGAGAGAATCCATTTCCATCATTAAAGAGGCTGACTTTGGGTCAAATGATGAACTTAGAGGAGTGGGAAACAAATAGCATGGGTGGAAGGGAAATTTTCACTTGCCTTGATGAATTACAGATCAGAAAATGCCCCAAGTTGGTCGAGTTACCAATTATTCCGTCGGTGAAATATTTAACGATTGAGGACTGCGCTGTAACTTTGCTGAAGTCAGTTGTGAATTTCACTTCGATTACCTCCCTTCTAATTGCGGGCTTCGATGAATTGGCAGTTCTTCCTGATGGACTGTTGCAAAACCATACGTGTCTTCAATGCTTGTTATTTGAGGGGATGGGAAGCCTTAGGTCGCTGTCAAATCAGCTAGATAACCTATCTTCTCTTAAGACTTTGAGTTTTATGTTCTGTGAGAAACTTGAAAGCTTGCCAGAAGGTGTTCAGAACCTCAATTCCTTGGAGATGTTAGGTATTTGTGGAATGATGCCAAAAATGACTACACTGCCTGGTTTACCTTCGTCTCTTGCTGGGTTGCACATTGTAGGTGGTCTAGAACTTACCTCTATATCCGAGGGACTGCAACATCTGACAGCACTCAAGGACTTGTATCTTGCTGGATGTGTGAAGTTAAATTCCTTGCCAGAGAGTATCCAATATCTCACATCCCTTTCAAGATTGATTATCAGAGGATGCTTTAATTTGATGTCTTTGCCAGAAGGGATAAGGAATCTCGAAATGCTCAGAGTGTTGGCAATTGCAGAGTGTCCCAATTTGGAAAGACGGTGCAAGAGAGAAAAAGGAAAGGACTGGCCTAAGATAGCTCACATCCCTACCATCATCATTAATGACCAGCTAATACAGTCCCCGGAGACCTGAAGAAAATATGATTGCTTAGTACGTGTTGGGACTTCATTTGTCTAATATCCTCATGTAAAATCTGGAATATTTATTCACCAAGTACTAATAGCTGTGGTGATCAAATAAAATGTAAAATTGTTATAAGATCTTAGGGATAGCAACCAGTTTTAGATGAATAAGCCGCAGATGAGGAATTCTATTTCTCTTCTTTGTTGTTTTGTGCTTACTTGCAATCTATTATTGCTGAATAAAATTATGAATATAATTTGAAGATTGGTTTTAGTAAATATACTGCTATATATGATGTAAACAAACCTCTTTTATATCAATTCCTGGCTTTTGTGATTTTCAATTAAATTTCTAATGGTGTAAGCAGGGCAGGCATGCAATGTCCACTGAGGAATCTTCAAAATCAAGAGAGCCTGAAATTCATGTAAAATATTATTTTAATATATTTTAAAAAAATATTTTGAAAAAAGTTAGTACCCCTCCTAGAACCCCCCAGAAAATTATGCTTTTTGTGGCTAACTCTAGTTTGAAACATGGTTGGCCATCTAAGTAAATAGACAAGTTTTTTTAAAAATTATTTTTTATTTTTTATTAAAAATTAAATTTAATACCAACATATCAAAATAATTTTAAAAAATTAATTTTTTTAAAATACAAAAATGAGGCACTTAATGAACACCAGGAAGAATATAAATGTTTTATGAATTTCTTAATATTACGTTCACATAATATCGTTTCGGCAGCCCCATCATATGATACCATTTACTTGATTTGAGCCAGGAGATCCCATGTTACAAGATGCTTTGCCTGGGGATGATGTGTTGGCCATCATAAACATTATTTTTTAAAATAAATATTGATTTTATCAGTACAATTTAGAGCCTGTTTCGAGCAAATGTAATTGCTGGCATACAAAGTTTTGATGAAGATGTAAAAGGTCCATTATTTTTTTTATTTTTTTTACAATTAATCCATGTTTATGTTTTTCGACCACAGGAGCACTAGATCTGCTTGTATCATCCGTTGAAATTTATTCCATACAGATGAATTCCACTCATAATCAAAGTAATTATACCCGACAAATAACCTAATTACGGTTGGGTAGTTTAACTGAGATGAATCTAATTATAAATTTGATAAATTAATTTAGATTGATTTAGTTAATTTAAGTTAATTAAAATGATACCATTCTATTTGAAAAAAAAAACACATTTAAACTTGATTTTTATTTGATTGAATTGATCAAATATATATTATGCATTTTAAATTGATTTTTTAAAAAAACTTGATTGGGTGAGGAATTGGGTTAGCAACGTCATTAATAACAGTACTCCCCTCCCCACAATAATTAATAATTTTTATATTAACTTACGAGTCATTAGTCGATTCTTCCTTTTGAATAATTTTACAAATATACAAGATGAGCTTGTAATGGGGTAAGCAGGGCAGGCCGACAATGTCCAATCTTCAAAATCCAGAGAGCATGAACTTCGCTGCATATAACACTGTTAAAATAATTCAATTAATATAAAATAAATATCAACAGAAAAAAAGCTAGAATTCTGCTTTGTTGATCTGTAAAAAAAATACATGATTTAACCGGAATACAAAAAGCTTATATATATATATTAAGCTGAAAATACTATTTTACTCTTAATAAATAAAACAAAATAAATATATTATTTAATATCTTTCTTTAAACTCATAATGCAACAATTACAAGTATTAAAAGCTTGCCAACTAGAAAATAAAAATGAGAAATGAAATGTGACTTGATAAAAAAATATATAATCTGTAAGGAAAAAAAAAACAAAAGGTAAAGTAATGATGTTTTGCTCAAGATGATGACGAGTAATATGACAATCAATTTCAATGTGTTTAGTTCATTCATGAAAAATCGAGTTGTGAGCAATTTGAATATAACTCTGGTTATCACAATACATATGATTAAAATGAGAGAGTGAAACTTCCATATCCTCAAGTAATCAATGTAACCAAATAACCTCTTTAATAGTAGATTCTATAACACGATATCTTGCTTTGGTTGAGGATTGAGAAACAATAGATTATTTCTTGCTCTTTCAAGAAATAAAAGAATCACCTAAAAAGATGTAGAAATTAGTAGCTGATTTGTGATCTGTGAGATCATTGTTATGATCGGCATTAGAATAGGTACACAACTTTTAAAAAAAGATGGATGTAAGTAAAAGATTCTGAAAAACTATACCACAAAGATATCGTAAAATACAAAGAACAGCTGCCTAATGAACACTAGTAGGAGAAGCAACAAACTGACTAATAATATGAATAACATGTGTAATATTTAGACAAGTAATTGTGAGGTACATCAAGCTTCCAATAATATAACTATATAAAGTAGGATATGTCAAAGGTAAATCATTAAAAAAAATATCTTGCATTAACTTCAATGAGAGTGTTTGGAATCTTGTTATTAGTAAATCAAGCCCGTTTAAGAAAATCTGCAACATATTTTGACTAAAAATAAAGGTAATTTCTAGGTATGTAAGCTACTTCAAAAACTATGTTTGAAATCAAGGTTCGTTCTATAAAATTAGCTCCGATATCATATTAAAATAATTCAATTAACATAAAATAAATACGAATATAAAAGAGAAGGAGGTTAGAATTCTCCTTTGTTGATTTGTAAAAAATTCATAATTTAACTTAAATACAAATAATTTATATATAGATTAAGTTAAAAATATTATTTTATTTTTTATAAATAAATAAAAAAAAGATAAATGTATTTTTAACAAACACAAATATGTTTGCATTGATGGAAGCATTGCATCGCAGGGGAAACTCGCACATGATGCATCAATGTGCATTTAGGATCTGCAATCCAGAATATGAATCTTGAACGTTTTGAAAGTTGTAGCATGTTGCCACAAGAAATCAGTTTTACATAGGTGCGAATGATCCTTGCTGTGAGTTTTTGTTGCTTACACTTCACAATGAAGTTCATCTTGGAGTTTGATTAGGCTCTTTTTTTTTTCTTTTTCCTTTTTTTATAGTGGTCTCAAGCCCAACAGTATAATTATTGAACAAAAGGGATGCTTAAAAAGATAATCTTGGTCTAGAGCTGATATTTGGTGTTCTGAGCCCACTATTTCACAAACCGAGAAAAAAAAGAGTATTATTTAGAGTTGGAATTTTATTGCCAATTGTAAAAAGCAAGTGCTAGAATGATTTATATGTCTAGTCCTTCAAAGATTTCATGTGTTTCACTTGTTATTTGGGAAATAATGGTAACCTAGAGTGGACTAATTTCGACCAAATAATGGTAATTTATGCTTACTTTCTCGGTAACTTAATGTATAATTTCATTTAATTGTGTTTCTTCATTGAATTCTAGCGACTGTGAATTTCTGTGAGAGCAGATTTTCTCTTCCTGTCCCAACCAATGTAGACTAGGAAGCTTGAAGATTCCTCGAGAACAGTATAGTAAAGGAGTTTCATCAGAGTAATGCAGTTGATGGAATGTACTCTGATGGAGTTGAGATGATGAGTTTGAATTCATAAAACATGTATTGTCGATGATCTTTGGCTTCTCTGTAATGGTAATAATCACTGTGTTTATATCTCATCGGAAAACTAACTAGCTAGATTATGGCTGCTTGTAGGCAGAGCAGTAAGGCTGTCAAGGGTGAATATTGTGGCTTGTAGTCTTCTTCCCATTGTAAATCTGCCCGTCTACTTTGAGAAGTACAGTATCTGACCATACCTGCGGGTATATATTTGATTATAGTGATGATGATTATTATGGTTATTAAAATTAAATTTTTTAAAATGATTTCATAATCATTTACATGCTTGTTAAGGAAATTATGAGATTTATTTTTTAAACAAAAACTACGTGAAAATTAGCTAGAATATACCTGCTAGCCTAGAAGTTGAAAGGGAAGAATCACCTTCTTTGTTGGCTCCAACTACAAGTGTATTTGAAAATATAGTTATGATTAATTTTTATTTAAAAATATATTAAAATAATATTTTTTTATTTTTTAAAAATTATTTTTGATATCAATATTTTAAAATGATTTAAAAACACTTAAAAAATATTAATTTAAAATAAAGTAAATAATTAAAAAAATTAAAATTTTTTAAAAATATTTTTAAAATATAAAAACAAATAGAATCTACATCAGCTTGAATTAGAAAGGTTTTCCAGGGATGGCACCAACTGAGCCAGGCAATTTTTGTCCTAGCTAATATTTATATGAAGATGACCAGTATCTCCAATTTTATATGAAGATGAGGGAATATTTATTATAATATAAAATATAATACAAACAGCCACTATACACATATATACATAGTTTTGTTAAAGGCGTTGAAAGCTCACCTACTCTGCTTGCTTGCTTGCTTGGGTTAGTCAGTGTTGTTTGGTTCAAGTCTTCTTTTCCATATATATCCTGCAGGCATGATTCGGAGCCTTTGCAAGTCTTTAGGCATCGTTTTTGCTGCCTCTTTGTAGCCTTCTCTGAATCTTGCTCTCTGTTGTTTCAATCCTCTCGCCCTTCTCGGAAAACCGGAGATAGCATCGGAAACAAATTGCTATAAGTCTACCGTTCTGTTGAATTAGAGGCAGACCTGCCAGTGGAAGCAAAGCCTGCATCAGATTGAAAGAGATGGCAACTGAAGAGATCAAAGAAATGCCAAAATCATGGGCCATGGTTGGTGGAGAAGGACCTCAAAGCTATACTCAAAATTCCTCCTATCAGGTGCATATTCTTCCCCTTCTAATGATAATAGCAATACTAAAACACTTATGGCTTGTGAGGCAAAACAGCCTCTCTTTTTTTGTTTTGTACTTAGATTTTTTTTTTCAGTTTTATTATTTGATGCTGAGTGATTGAAGTTTCATGTTAACACTTTGTTTTTATTTATCTTTTATGTGGTCATTACAATTTTTATTTTATTTCATAAAAAAGATATAATTTGATTGTTCGTAAAGAATTGAATGCCTTTTTTTTTATTTAAAAAAATCAATATCAAGTATCAGTTTATCTTTCTTTTTTGTTTTTGATCATCAATTTTTTATTTTATTTTAATTAGATCCTTTAAGGTTGGGTTGATTGGAAGATAAGGTTGATGATTTATTTTGGTTTGATTTTTATATAGTTATCTTGGTATAAAAAAAACTTGTAATTGTTTTGGCGCTCAATTTCATAAAGAATAATATATTTTATTATTTGTAAAAAATTAAAAATATAGGGATTGAAATTATATGACATAAAAATTTAGAGGTGCTTTAAAAAAAATGCGTGACAGTTCCATTTCCACAAATTTCTTCTTTGGGTTTTGGAAAAAATCATTTTTGGTCCCTTGAGTTTGGAGAATAAAGAGTTCAATTCAAAAATTTATTTTTCTTGCATTTTAGTCCTTGAATTTTAAGGTTGACCGGCTCCTTCCAAAAAGTTCCTCGGAACTTTAATTTTTTTTCCTGCTCAATTCTCTTTTGGCGTAGCTCGCGGCGAAGCGTAAACATCCTATCTAGTCTAAATAAACTAATTCTTTACACGCCTATAATGCATCTGCTTATTGCAACAGAAAGGAGTGGTGGATGCTTCGAAGGAAATGGTGACTGAAGGCATCAAAGACAAGCTTGATTTTAAAAGCCTTGGTTTTGACTCATCGAACGACACATTTCGAATAGCAGATTTTGGTTGTTCTGTTGGACCCAATACATTTTTTGCTGTGGAAAACATCATAAAAGCTGTGAAGTATAAACACCATGCCCAGTTCAATAACTCTCCTCCCTTAGCATTCCAAGTTTTCTTCAACGATGTTCCAACCAATGATTTCAACACTCTCTTCAAAACCCTCCATTCCAATAGAAAATACTTTGCTGCTGGACTGCCCGGTACTTTCTACGGCCGCCTCCTCCCCAAGTCCACACTGCATTTCGCGTACTCTTCATATTGCTTACAGTGGCTCTCCAAGGTCCCAAAAGAAGTTGTAGACAGCAAGTCTCCTGCATGGAACAAGGGCAGCATCCAATGTGATGGTCTCAAAAAAGAAGTCACCAAGGCATATTCAGCTCAGTTCCAGAGTGACATGAACACCTTTTTGAATGCTAGAGCACAAGAAATTGTGGGTGGAGGATTGATGGTGATTATAATGGCCGGCCTTCCTGAAGGGATCTTTATGTCTCAGGCAGGAGTTGGAATGTACTATGATCTTCTCGGATCATGCCTCGTCGACATGGCTAAATTGGTAGAATTATTCTCTCTCTAACTGATTTGAAGCAGAACCCTAGTAACTATACTCTTTGACATATGCTGATCGTTCTTCTTTGTAGGGAGTGATTAGTGAAGAAAAGGTGGACTCGTTCAACTTGCCTCTGTACTATTCTTCTTCTACGGAGATTGAAGAAATCATAAAAGTAAACGGGAATTTCAGTATTGAGATAATGGACTCCTTGAGTCATCAGATTTGGCAAACGTCAAAGAAATCCAATATCAAAGTTTCTGTTTCAGGGGGCAGAGCTGTTTTTCAGGGTCTTGTGGAAGAACACTTTGGAAGTGAAGTTGTAGAAAAAATATTTGAGCATTTTGCTAAGAAGCTTGCTGACAATTTCTCTATCTTCGATGGCGCAGCCCATGAACACATCGACCATTTCATCCTGCTCAGGCGTAACGTTAATTGAGACCACAGTTATGTGCTCGCTATTCCCTTGGATTGGAATGCTGGAGATGTTCAACTTCATATCAAATAATGAAGTGTGCAACTCATGCTGGAGATGTTCAACTTCATATCAAATAATTTGGATTCCATTTCTATGCTATTTCGATCTCATTTCTTAATTTGCTTCAATTCCTTCTTTCAGAAGGTTAGAACTAACATCACGGTTTCACTTTTCGGAAAAGCTTATGCACTAAACTTTCTCTCAAGTTCATGTTCATTATATCAAATTTGAAACTATAGAACTTTGAAGACAGCGATAAAATATGTTTGTCTAGATGGAGTGATAAGTATTTAAACGAGATCACAAATTAATGAATTTGAAAGCCAAATCACTCGTTAGGAAAGAAGAATGAAACTCATTTAAGAAGGATAAAGTTGTAAAAACAAATCAATTTAAATTATTACAAATAAAATAATAACAATCAAAGGAATAAGAAATAAATTTACAAATAAAATTAAAGAGAAATGAAATTGAAAATGAATTTTAAAATTTTAAATTATTCCAAATAAAATAAATAATAATTAAAAAACAATGACCAAATTTAAAAAATAACAAATTGAAGAGGTTTTTTTTTTTAATTTTCAAGAGGCAAAAATAGAAATTAAAAAGGAAAAAAAATGTTGCATATATAAATTGACTATCCATTGGCTACGCACATTGCCTCATTATAAAGTGTATGTCAAAACTAATCAAACAACTCCATAGAAGGTAATGTTTAGTCATTATATGGCCTTACATGTGCTGTATGAAAAGCACAAGGCGGCCCACACATTAACTCGTGCATTACTCGTATTAATATTCTTTTTTAAATAATATTTATATTTTTAAGATTATAAAGCCACCCTTCTATCAATTTGATAATTACATGAAAAAAAAACCTAAATAAAAAGACAAAAGTACCATTGCTCCTAAGTTTAAAAAAAATTTATTTTTTAAGGGTAGTTAGGCGTAATAAACATCACATACACCACCTAAAAAACACAAGCAGCGTCTATTTACTAACATGTGTCAAGCACACACCAACCACTTTTGAGTTAAAATAATAATTTATATATATTAAAAAAATAAAATTGCCTCTAGATCCATATGAGAATAACAAAAGAATATAGAAAAATACATAAAGTGTCCTTATATCCATAGTTAAGGAATATTATTTCTAGAGGCATTTAAGTAATTAAGTTTTACAAAGAAAAAAAAGAAGATGAAAAACCCAAAAAACCCTTGAAACTATGAAATTTTTTTTGTAAGGGTCATTTAGTAATTACTCGTAGATAAACATATGAAATTACCAATTACCACCTTCTTTAATGTAATTATTAATAAGTGATGTGGGACAATAAATAATAAAAATTAAAGTAGAAAAAGAAAGAAGCTTTTAAATAAGAAGCTAAGAAGAGAAAGTAAAGAAAGAGAAGATAGGGGATTGGAGATATATAAAGTCTGCAATATTTTATTAATCATCAAAAATTGCTTAACATTTAGAAAAGTGGGGTATAAATACTCAAAACCCTAACTAAAACAAGTGATTGGGCTTATGACACATTAAATAAAATACCCAACAATAATTAAATCAAACCCAACAAATAAAGTTAAATTAATAAACCTCAACTAAAAATTCATATTAATTAAACCCAAAAACATAAGTTAAAGTTCAATCTCTTAATTGTTTGGGCTATCCTCCATCGTCTATGATTATATGCGTGCATAAATAATATTTCGAGTTTGGTGTCCCCACCAATTCTCTCGGGGTTGGAAGAACTCGACCTTGTCAAGTATAGGTCAAAGCGACTTCAATAATGCTCTCAAAGTTAAAGATCAAGCTGTTGTGATGTCTTTCTGATAATCCAAGTATAGTCTGAATCTGGTCATCAAGCTCATATACTAGGATTTGTTAAAGTTCACCATCCCTGGTAAAAACAACTTGTGTATTCAAAGTAACATTAATATGTTCCTTTTGTACTAAAGAAATGGATAATGAGATAGAGGTATCAAAAGAAGCATTAAGCATTGGTTGTATTTTATAAATACTGAGGTCTTTTATATTAAAAGTAGAATTAATATTAAAATTTAATGGCAATTTAATGATATAATTATTTAATTTAATCATTTGCAACACTTTGAATGGTTTAGCATTACTTACTTGCAATTTATGATCGATTTTCAAAGGACACCGTTCAGGTCTAATCTGTATTATGAAATAATCTCCAACATTAAGTGCATTATAATACTTAAGTAAATTAGCTTGAAATTTATATTGTTTTTTACTTGCTTGAATTTGTTTCATGGTCTTAACATGTAAATTATGAACTCTTTATGATAACGACTCAGCTAACTTAAATATCCTACTGTGAGGAGATATGAGAAGGTGTTTTATAGGCTTCTCAGGTTTATAACTATGAACACTAAATGATTGAGGGTGTGGAATGAGACAAACATTGTTTGAAACTTGTGTAGATATGATATGAACACAATCAAGTAAACTATGATTATCTTATCTTCCTCATCACGTGCACGAGGTAAGGGGTCAAGAAGCTCAACATGTTGCTCTAAACTTATGATGTGTTGGACACCAAGCATGTGGGGTGAGGAATCGGGTAATTTAGGAAGACTAATATCATGAGACTCTTCTAAGACCATATTTATCTCTATAGGTGATTCCACTAAAGAGTTCCCTAAAACTTCCTCTACCAATAAAACAGACATATCAGACTCTTTCTTAACCTTATTTTTAAGTTTATGTTGACTCATTGTGTTAGGTCCCTTTTTTTGCACATCCTTGTCATTTAAATCACTAAAATCCTCAAGATTAGGCTCTTATACTTCAACACTACAATATTCCTCCTCTTTACCTATATCCTTATATTTTTGGATGACTAAAGGTTTAGAGATGTAATCTAAAGATGACCAAAACCTAGACAATTAGTATACTTAACCCTTGAACTCACCTTAGACATTTCATTGATAACTTATTTGTCCTTATCTTTCTTATAAAGTTGGGCGCTACTAGGATTATGTCTATAAAGTGGAGCACCTAACAAAGAATCACTACTTTTGAATTGGAACCTAGTAGGGATACTATAGGAGCCTTGACGATTAATCCACTCATTCTTTGTAACCAACTTGTAGTCTTGAAATAAGGTATAAGCTTGGTTAAGGATAAATACACCTTAAACTACAACTTCTCTTCTAAGATCATCATTTAAGCCTTTACAAAATCTACGTAAAGTCATGGCTTCATTCTCTCTTATGACATATCTAATCATGTAATCATTAAGCTTCGTTGTATACTCATTAATAGACTTATTCTTTTGCCTTAGATTATTCCATTAGTCTAAGAGTTTATTTCTATAAGAATTGGGTAGGTACTTCTCTTGAAGCTTTTGTTTCATTTTGATCCAATTAGTTATAGAAGGTTTACTTCTCATCTCTAAATAATCATCAACATCTCTCAAATAAATTTTAGCTTCATCAATGAGCATTATCTTAGCAAATCTAACTTTTTTATTATCATACAAGTTATACCACTCAAAGAATCTATTTATATCACGAATCCACATATCAAATATTCAAAGGTCATAACGACCGTCAAAAGGGGGGGCTTTTATTTTATTAGGACTCAAGACTCGCTCATCAAAGTCATTGTGTTTAAAGTAACCTAAATGATAGTTATATTAGTGGCGCTCAGAGTAAACTTGTCTATAATAATTATTTTTATGATATTTATTGGTCTTTGAGTGCCTTATTTGAAAACTTTCTTGGGACTTATTTTTTTAAAACGTGTTAATCATCTAAGTTTGCAATTCCCTTTAAATGGTTGCGAGAGTATCACTAAAGATTGAGCTTACAATAAGTGTAAACTTAAACTTGGATACTAGATGATCATGACACAAATGCATGCAAGACTAACTTATAAATGGAATTGAGATAACAAATGGTTCTTGCAAGTAAAATCACAATACAAAAATAAAGCTAATAATTTTTTTATTTTTTTTTAAAATATGGAGATTAATCAAGAACAAATTACACTAATAAAATTATAAGCATGTAATACTAGATTTTTAAGTGTAAATGATTAATTAAACACAATGTCACAAGCAAAAATTTATAATTATCAAATGGAATAAGATATTAGCTACCACTAAATAAAGAGGATGATGAACAAGAATTAACAATTAAAATGGTAGGTGAGATATTTTTTTTATGATTTTTTTTAGTAATTTTTTAAACACAAAAATAATATTAATAAAAACCTTAAATGACAAGTGAAAAGCCAAAAATACAGAAACTTCACCGAATATGGGAGAGTGATTCACCAACGAGGGTGCTGGAGGAAGCTGGAATTTGCTGAGCTGACGTGGCAAACTAGATGAATTGACTGTTGATATGGCAGATGATGTGGCCGGTTTGCTTACGTGGCAGGTGATGGGGGTGATCATGTATGGCGTGGCAGCGGTGGCATGACTGATGACGTGGCAGGTTAATTAATTTTGCATCGAGAATTTTCTTTGGTTTTTTAGTTTCCTTCATCTGGTTGTCGTCTTCACACAAACCTGCTATTGGAAATCAGTCAACAAATTAATCCCCGTAACCCTATATAGGTGAAAAGATTAAGATGCTGGCCTGCCATGGCGAGTCTCTGGGTTGAGTTGATTTGCTTCTGTGAGAGGCGGTTGCTGAAGGTGAATTGATTTGGCTGCTGTGAGAACTGTTGTAGATCTTAGTGGCTGTTGAGAGAAGGCGTGGCTGGTGAAGATGAATAGATATTGCGACTACTGAAGGTGATGGTTGCTGCTGGCCTGTGTTACTGTTCTGTCTAACTTTTGTTGTCTCCTACGGTATAGCTCTACTGCCGATGAGCTCAGATGCGGCAGACGGCTGGTTGTGGTTGTTGTCACTAATGGATATGTCGTGGAGGCGCTGTGGAAGTTTACTGGTGGTGCGAGATGGTGGCTGAATGGCAGATCTGTCAATGGCGTGGAGAGTGGCCTGCTGTAGGAGGTGATTCGATCTGTCACCGTGGATGTTGTAGAGAGCTATCGTGGGTTTTGGTGGCTATTGGGGATGCCCAATCTGCTTTCTCGTGAGGATGGTGTGCTCTGCGGCGGCTGTTTTTACGATGAACAGTGTT